TTGATACTGTGATATAAAATACGCATATGGTTCGTTACAGACGCAGAAAACTAACAATGAATCGCGTTCATTGGCAAATTTGAAATCAGATGGGGATGGGAGGTAAGTTTTAAGTGCATTTGCGTTGAATATTGTTAACATAGATAGCACAGTAGAAATAACCTTGTTCCTCGGAGAAAACCACGAGAATAGACATAGATGCGTTGATATTTCGGCAACATGTCTTCTTTGAAACGGGTAATGTAAGTGAATTGAAAATAAAAACTTCCACTATTTGTGCCTTTGTGCTTGACTGAAATATTAACGCACCTTTATCGCTATTCTTCCGTTTTTTTCTGCCAGGGAAAGGGTATTGCTACAGTAGTAATGCCATCCAAAGGTAAAACCCTATATGTCAACTTTTGGCGATGTTGTGCTTTTTATACCATCTGATTCATCTACTCATGCTGATGTTGGTTACTTAAATGATGAGTTAAAATTTTCACACACTCTTAGCCCATTCTTTTGGCTAAAAGTTTGTGAAAATTTCAAATAATGATTTAAATATCTCAATGCAGCATGAGAAGACAACTGTGATGAGGTGAGACATGAGATGACATAAGAAACACAAAATGGCTAGAAATGAGCATATGGGATTTTATCCTTGGACAGCAGTGCTGTCTTGTCTACATGAAGATGAAAGCCTCATTTCTCACTGTAATGGTAGTCTGACAGCAGTGCAGAAAGTAGGTGGCCAGTGGAGTAAGCCTCCAAACTTTTAAAAACACATCAGCCTCATGAGCATTGACTGAAAGAGATACAACAATGCCTTTCAGTCCATCCAACATGTGAGGTCTTCCTTTGCCCCTGGCCTTTTATGCTTGATCCATGCTATTTTCTACTAGTGCTGAAGCAACACACTTGTAAAGGATTTCCCATTTAAAGGAGCAATAATAATCAAACTATTGCTGACTGGGGCTTAGCATCTTAATATCTGAACACTTAAATAAATGCCAGGGCCATTTTAAGACAGACATCTTTGTTAGGTATCTTGTAGAATGTAGTGGTGACATGGCAGGGACCCAAACCCAAGACTGGCAGGCCCAGAGCAGAGTGCTCAAACTACTGCACCACCACTGCCCTGACTACAAGGAGGAAACACCACATGCATTAAAAAAGCTTGCAAAAAAACTGGACTTTTTGAAAGGCTGGATGCAGCCGCCTTCCTTACCAACCATTGCCATACAGAGGATGCTACATTTACATAATATGTTGCCATGCTGTCCCTGATTTCTACACCAATGGTTGATCACTTAAAAGTTAACTTATCTGCTCTTAGTGTACAAAATTTGTTTATCAGGTAAAAGCCAAATTGGTGTAATCTTTTGCATATAAGCATTTGTTTCTGATGCTTTAATACAAATGCTAGAAGCATCAGGAACAAGCTTGGTGAGCTCCATGCTTACATGCTGGAAGAAAATTTTGACCTGGCAACTATCACTGAACCTTGGATCAGTGAGCACCTTTTTGGTGGGGCAGTTAACAAGAATTTGAAGTATCTAGGTACAATATGTTAACTTTTCATAGGAGAACAAAAAAGGAGGTGGAATTCTAGTCTATGTAAGGCAGAATATAGAATGTGAAATGATGAATGGTATAAAGAAGAGAGGTGGTGCAGAATTCCTTTGGACTGATTTGATTATGCAAAAGGCAATAAATTATGTGTTGGAAATATCTATAGGCCTCCAAATGGTTGTCAGGATGTGGACACAGATATGTGTGAAGAAATCAGATGAAGAAAATAGCTCAAGAAAGCTTCCATGTCTGACACAGTCAGTGCACAATTTGATGGCTGTTAAGAAGGCAGCATGTGATAGACACACAAAAAGCAGGAAGGCAGTATATAGGATTGCCACAAAAAAACTAAAGAAGGGAGTCAGGAAAGCAAAAATAATATCAGAAATGAGGCTAGCAGACACTTGCCCTGTTGATGTTAAGAATTTTCTTAGCTACTACAAATTCCAATCTAAGGGATTCTCTGTTGGTCCCTTGAGGAAGATGAAAAGTCATAAGTGGTGGAGAGGGATGTGGTAGGTTTGTCAGTAAGCAGTTTTTGTGCTCAATGGTACTAAACCTCAGCAGGAGCCAGACAAGAGTGGGGTTCCACAGGGGTTGTTGTTGGGTCATTTGCCCTCATTTTTGTGTGAATAATATTGAGATAGGATGAGAAGGTAAGGTTCTTAAATTGCTGATATTAAATTAAAAGGGGTGCCAAAAAATGCAGACCATGTGAAACTTGACTTAGATAAATTAGTGACCTGGGATTCTCTGTGGCAAATGTCATTTAATTATTATATGTGTACGGTGATACATTTAGGTGGTTCTGGCAGTGAGGGCATTATCTAAAAAATGTGAGGCCGAGAGTTGTACCAGATTGAGGACAAACAGGACTTGTGGGTTATAATTTCCAGGGAATTGAAGCCTGAAAGCAATATGCTGGGTTGGGGGCAAAGTGCTTCAGATGCTGGGACTTGTTTACAGGAGTGCCCATCATTAAAGACAAAAGAAAATGCCTCTGTGTCAAATGAAAATGCCTCTCTGTGATGTCTCTCTATCAAATATGCAAAAGCAACATGTCCTCATGATGGAACTCAAAGGCGCAGCCTTAGAGCACATGGCCTCCTTTGACGGGTACAAGATGACTTATACAGATGGTTCGAAGACGGATGCAGGTGTAGGGTGTGCTTTTGTGTGCGGATCCACCACACGGTCATTCACACTGCCTTCACACGCGTCGGTCTACACTTCCGAGCTTATAGCCATTAGCAAAGCTCTCTGTTTTATTGAAGTGGACGATAGCAATCTGCATTTAATTCTTTCCGACTCCTTGAGCAGCCTGCTGGCTGTTAGCGGCTTCTCCCCGTCGAATCCACTGGTTCAGGACATTCAATCTCGTCTTAGCTCACTGGATCGAGCAGGAAAAACGGTCGTTCTATGCTGGATCCCAAGTCACGTGGGGATATGCGGAAATGATCTTGCTGACGCGGCAGCAAAGCGCGCTACGACAGGGACTAGAATTCCTATAACACCACTACCTGCTCAAGACATGTGCCCCGCAGTATCGCTGTTTATGCAGAAGCGATGGCAGTTCTACTGGAACTCGCTGAGCGCCAGCAAGCTGCAGTCGGTGAAACCCCGCATTGGATTATGGCAGTCGTGCTTTCGGGACAATAGGGTGGAAGAAGTTGCCCTTTGCCGGTTACGCATAGGTCACACATATGCTACGCACCGTCACCTGCTATTGGCTGGCGACAGACCATGCTGCGGTCGATGCTCTGATCCACTGACCGTGCATCACGTACTGGTCGCTTGCCGCCACCTTACTGCAACGAGAGCGCAGTTTTTCGGACGCCACGTCCAGAGTCGCACGCTATGCGACTTTTTAGGGGATTCTTCGAACATCGTCGGGTTTGGCAAAGTGCTCCAGTTCCTTCGCGCTATAGATTTTCCTGTTATCTTCTCATCATGATGCTAGGGCCGATCATCATGGCTCTATAGGGTGACCTGATTGATGCACTTCTCTGATTGACGGCTCTGCATGAATCGATAGTTATGGGCGCTGCATGACCTTTAGCAGTCGATGCGCCCTAAAACCCCAAATCATCATCACCATCATCACAAAAGAAAATGCTGTCAAAAATTTGTACTGAGGTCATGTCAGACCACGCCTAGAGTGTTGTGTACAAACCTGTTCCCCCTGCTACCAAAAATATATTGATGGTCCGGGGAGAGTACGCAAAAAGCAACTAAGATGATAAATGGGGGTGGTGACATAAAATATGAGGATAGGTTTAAGGCCTTGTATTTGTATTCACCGAAATATCGTAGACTTAGAGGAGATTTGATAGAGGTCTTCAAGAGGATGAAAGGATAGACATCGTAGGTCTACAAGGAGCACTGTAAATTAAGCCGAGACATAAGAGAAATAAGTTTAAATTAGCAAAAGGTAGGAGTAGAACTATGAAGAGGCAGATGTCATTTAGTGAAGGAGTAGTGAATTATTGAAATAGACTGCCAAATGAAGATGTAGGAAGTCCCTGCCTGGCAAAATTTAAAAGTTGTGTGGACAAGCTCTGTAGGGTTAAGGATCTCATTCATAGCTAAATGCAGGCTGGTCAGGTGGTAAGATTTGCTCAAGGATGGGTGAGGAATGTAGGGTAGGCCAACCTCCATGGGCCCTTGTGGTTCTTTGTTGGCCTGATGTCTTTGTGTTTATGTCTTTTATTCGGTGGGGATCATGCGGTCAATGTAGGTTTAGACATGCCATACCATACTGGGTTCTCTGAAATTTGAGTGGATGGTGAGGTCAGTTATAAAAAGTAGGAATCCTACCCTGTCTTTTTTACAATATGTTCAGGTTGAAACAACACCTTTGGTAGTAATATTGTTAATGTTTATAGATTACCATGGAGCCTACCTTCCATCTCATTGTAAATCAAGTTTTGTAGCCTTTTTCAAAAAAGCTTGTCACTTTGTGAATAAGAACCAGCTCATTCCAGTCATCCCTTGCAATTTTTACTATCACATTTCTGCAGTCATATTCATAAAAATGCAGCATTATTTAACATAGTCACAGACAGCTACATTGCTTTCATCATTCATCCTGCCCAAACTTCCTGGCATGAATTCGAAAACGATTATTTTTGAACAATGTATATTTGAGTAACTCAATTTCTGGGGGTCAAGGGTGCCATTATATCCTGGAGTTTCATAACCTAGCCCCAGCCTTCATTGCTTTTGTTGTTTGCACATACCATCACAATGTTACATCATATACCCTGTACTTCTATCTGTACTTCTACCATGGCAGACCATGTCAGTTGTTCCTCACTGAGCTTATTTACCCTGTTCTCAACCGCTTGAAACATCATATCATGGGGAAGGCAGTGTTCACTGATGCTTTGTTATCCAGAACAGACCAAGATCTAGCAGATTCCTATAAGATATCATTGTATCACCTTATTGCTTCTATTGTGTGCTTACTGCAGCACTATAGTGATGAAAGAATAACATTCACCTCTCATAATATATTTATGCCTCACATTTCACTTTGCCCTGCAATATGCACACAAACTTTACATTGCAAATATCCCCAAGGAGTCAGATATCTTAACTGAGTAGCTCTCAGTTTGACAATTCATAAGCTAAAATGTTCAATACACTCATAACACACATAGACAACACATTTGTTAATTTTGTGCACAAACAGTGCAATAGTGAGTCCCAATATGAGTTTTTCAGTGCAGAAAGTGGTCATGTGGAACTTGATGCATATCATATGCACCTAAAAAGGCTGCTGCCTGCTATTGGGCATAGCTTCAGCAACATTTGCCACAAATGAGTTCTTCAGTGAAGTGAACAGCATGGCATATCTATGTATGAAAGAGAGAGAGACACACACACACACACATACACATATGTATATAATATATATATATATATATATATATATATATTATATACATATAAAGGAAACCACTCCACACCCTGCAGGTGACCTCACAACCCCAAGGTCGCTGCTGGTTGCTGAGTTTCGACCCGAGAAACTTCGAAGCGCATGGGGGCGTCCTCAGCTCAACTGGGTGTTACCACGTTGATCACTAGAATGGAAAAGTGGCACTGTGTCAGATCTTCTGCGTTTGGGTTTACTAAACCCACAAAACGTTACTGCAATTTTGATTTTCTGTGGTACCTGCCCTTCCTGCCAATGCAAGAGGCAGGCAATGCCATATGAAATCAGCAGTCAAATGTGTTTGCATTTCCAATGAAAACCTCACAGAGATGCCCCATGGAAAAAAGAATGAGCAATGACCATTGAACTACAGAAGGCAGCAAGCACCTGTAACACTACACCACAAAACCAGAATAATAATAAAACAAGAATTTAATATACCAGAAATGCCAGAATTTGGGCACCGGGATCATAGTGAGAGCAAGGCTTGCACATTTGGTTGCATTTACATTGCCAACAGTGGGCATCCGACAGTTCTGTAAACGAGGTGCATTAGAAGCCCCGTCAGAGTCCGCCACAGGTGCGCCCAGCCGGTCTGAAGACGCGGCCGGCCGTGCCAGGCACCCACCCGTCGCCGGACGAGGCTGCGCCGGACCCGTCCTCGTCCCAGTACACCAGGAACGGCGAGTCCATGGCGCCGAAGCCGGCGATGATGCCGCCCTCCTGCACCGAGGACGGCTTGGAGCGTAGTGTGAAGCCGCAGCACTCGTTGCAGTAGGTCTGCTCTCCATCCCTGCCGTGAGACAGGTCAGTCGCCGGGTCAGAGAAACGGCCGACGTCGACGTCGTCCGCCAGCGGCCGAACGTCTGCGCCGTTACGCAAGGCAGCTCATCAGCCAAGAGGAGTGACTTACTCGGCGGTCTGGGGTTCTGGTGAGCGGCTGTTACTGGTCAGTGCCCGGCGCGCAGCAGTGAGCAGCTAGTACAGAGCTTGGCGAATCTGGAGACACACTGCCAGCTGCCAGCAGCCAGCGAGCGGCCTATCCTGCGGCTGGGGGCGGGGATCACCGGCGTAGCAGCTCTGAGAGCGAGCCCGGCTCACCCGAGTATGTAGCCGAAGATGCCCAGCTCGCCGACGGCTTGCACCAGCTCCGGCGAGCCGTGGCCCGGCCGCAGCAGGTAGTTGGGCTGCACGTGCGGCTCAATCAGCTCCATCAGGATAAACGCCGTCCGCTCGGCGCTGTCGCGCAGCCGCGCCAGCGTGTGCGCGATCTCCTCGCCGTAAATGTTGTTGCCGCCACCCTCCCGCTGCGGCTTCAGCACATACCGGTGCGGCGCGGCTAGCGCCATCTCCACGGCGGCGTCGCCGTCCTCGTCCTGCAGCAGTGGGTCGGCGTCATCGCGGCCTGGTCCGGCTCGCACGCCGACGAACGGACCGACGAGCGGGACGGGCAAAGGTGAAGGGTCGCAGACTCTAACCCAGAAATTGGTGGGGGATCCTCGGTTGCAACACGATGTGAGAAGTTATGAACTGTGATCCAGAGGGTGGCTGACAGGGCAGCGGGCGGTCCGACGGGCTACGCAGCGCCTGTGTGCAGCAGCGCCTTTGTGCTAACGTCACGTGTCAAGTGGGAACATCCGTAACACGTAGCTGGATGTGGTTACGGCTCCGTACCGCATCTGCCGCCGCGCTCACCATGTCAAGCGAGTACAGGCCGACGAAGAGAGATCTGCAGAGCGTCACCTCCTGGTCACGGAGATAGCGCTCCAGCACGCCGGGACGGCAGAGCTCCTGCTGCACCTGCGCCAAACACAAACACAGACCAGCTGATCGTCGCTCTCCCCGCCTTCGCCCCAATGTCCCGCCACCCGCGCGGGGACACGTCATGCGGGCGTCGCGGACGCCCCCCCCCCCCCCCCCCTCCGGAGCGGCCGCCGCATACCTTTTTGGTGCCGGCCAGATGCAGCTGAATGCTGGGCGACTTGATGGCGCGCGAGCGCTCGATCAGCAGGCGCAGCTGCCACTCGCGCTCGCTGGGGTAGTGGTCCGGCGAGTAGCCCACGCGGTAGTACACCACCGCCACCTCGTGGCCGTCCCTGGCGGCACGACCCGTGGGGGTCAGTCAACGTGCGCACCATGGGGCGGCCAGCCGCGCTGAGTACCATGGGAAGATCCCCACTCAGTCACCCTGGTGATTTCATCTGCTGCAAATAAAAGAAGCGTGATTAAGTTTCGCATGAACAGAATGTCCTGAAGGTAGTTTTCATTTCCATTTCAGCTAATCTGCTTGATGACGAACTCGACCTAAACCGAAGTTAACGAATAACGGATTCACGATTTTCAGAATCAGAGATACTTTTCTGGTAAATTTAGTCCAAATACTTTGATCGGATGGCTTTCTGAGATCAGAGCCCGCGCCAAGCAGCGTCCGTTGTGTGAACCCTGGTTCTACCCAGTCCGTTGTCTACCCGTTGTCTACCCGTCAAGCTTCAGCTCGACGCTATAATTTTGTGGAGAAGTTTAATGCGCCGAAGTGCATGGCATGGTCAGCCCCCCCCCCCCCTGACCTCACGTGACCTCGAGCTGACGCCGTCACCGATAGCCAGCCACCCCGACCAAAGGCAGATAGCGAGCACCGAACCGACTCAAACCCGCCCGTTCCGCCAACGGCGGGTTAAAAGCCCGACGCTGTAACCGATTGAGGTACAAGGGCGGACCAGATCGACTCTGAGCCCCGAAGTGCGATCTGCGGCTTACTGGACATGGCAACATCGTCCGGAAACACTGCAGATCGCCCCGCTGCAGCGAGACACCAGGGCGACGTTCAGCCCCACTATCGGGCGAAGCCGAGCGCGATGGGCTGGTGTGCTCCCGGTGGTTCGGCACTCACACTATGAGAGCTCGGCTCTCGCCCAGCGACGCCTGGCTGAGCAGCTGCGCAAACGACCTCCGGATCACCCTGATGCCCGGCCGCTGCCGGTACACCTGGAACTCGTGGAATCGCTGGTCGCAGATGTTGATGGTGCGGTCCTCCACCACGAACAGGATCACCGCCCTGCCCGGCCCGGGTCGCCGCGGTCAGCGTTCAGTCCCAGTCATAGCACGGCAACACCTCGTAGCCATAACGCAACACGGCACGTTCATGTTGGGATTCCGCAGGAAGTCTGGTACCTATTGTCATGCTATATTGTGGCGGCTTCACAATGGCCTTCAGGCAAATATATGCACATGCGACATGGTTTTCATCGCCGTCCATCACAGTACTGAACGGACTGCGCCATCTCCTAGCACACTCAGTCGCTGGTCTTTTCTCCCAGTACAAGCGGCAACGCTACACTAATCAACTCCGACATCAGACGAATGCAACAAGGCGCCAGCGGTCATCCGGAGGTCGATGGGAGAGCTGGATGGTCACGTCCAGAGGTCGCCGATACACGACGGTGGCCCGGAAGGCCGGCTCGGCGCGACATACCCAGCCACGTTGTACTTGTCCCAGGCGTGGATCATGCCCGTGGCGATCCCCTCCAGGGAGGTGTTGGCCGGAATCTGCGGCAGACCGAACGGTGACGGTCACAGAGCGGACAGCCCCCTGCCATCTACACCAGGAGCGGGACGGAGGGAGGCGTCACAGAGCGGACAGCCCCCTGCCATCTACACCAGGAGCGGCACGGAGGGGGACGTCACAGAGCGGACAGCCCCCTGCCATCTACACCAGGAGCGGGACGGAGGGAGGCGTCACAGAGCGGACAGCCCCCTGCCATCTACACCAGGAGCGGCACGGAGGGAGGCGTCACAGAGCGGACAGCCCCCCTGCCATCTACACTAGGAGCGGGACGGAGGGAGCCGTCACAGGGCGGACAGCCCCCTGCCATCTACACCAGGAGCGGGACGGAGGGGGTCGTCACAGAGCGGACAGCCCCCTGCCATCTACACCAGGAGCGGGGGCGGAGGGGGGACGTCACAGAGCGGACAGGCCCCCTGCCACCTATACCAGGAGCGGGACGGAGGGGGACGTCACAGAGCGGACAGGCCCCCTGCCACCTACACCAGGAGCGGGACGGAGGGAGGCGTCACAGAGCGGACAGCCCCCTGCCATCTACACCAGGAGCGGCACGGAGGGGGACGTCACAGAGCGGTCAGGCCCCCTGCCACCTATACCAGGAGCGGGACGGAGGGGGACGTCACAGAGCGGACAGCCCCCTGCCACCTACACCAGGAGCGGGACGGAGGGGGACGTCACAGAGCGGACAGCCCCCTGCCAGCTACGCCAGGAGCGGGACGGAGGGGGACGTTAGAGCGGCACATCCCGGCTAACGGCTCTCCGAAAGGCCACGTCAGGAACGACACGGTAGCCTCACACCGCAGCACAAGCGAATGGGCCCCACCAGGAGCGACAGCGCGCGCCCCTGCGGGACGCACGGACCGACGCCCCCTCCCTCTGCCTCCTCGATCCGGCTGCGCCAGGAGCGGCAGGGGAATCTTACAACCGCGGCATACACGCAATGGCAGTCGCACCAGGAGCGGCAGGGGGCGTCACACCGAGACACACGCCGACTGACTGATCGGCACATCACACCGTGTCAGTGTCAATGCCATCGATATGTCAATATCACGGTGCCAATGCTGCGTAACAATACATATCCATTTGACAGCATTCGATTCATCGCGTTAGTTCAACATGAGAGGTTGCGAGATAAAACCAGACAGTATTAAATGTGCAACACAAGCGCTACTAACCGGCCGATTCTACCTGCCATTGACACCGAACGAGTGGTAATGCCTACGCTCCTCACCTGGTCAGTCTTGTCCAGGTGACCCAGCACGGTGAGACCGTATCTGAAAATGCACTCGGTGAGGTATGGACATGCTGCATGAGAGGGTATTGCGATACGATCTCTGATAACGTGTAACATTGCTCAGTGTGCTAGTGGAGACAGCACACACGTGATAACGTGTAACATTGCTCAGTGTGCTAGTGGAGACAGCACAGACGGCACGTGCACAGCACACGTGCACAGCACATAAAAGAACACTCTGTGAACATTCAAACGCTTCAACAAAAAACCGCAAATCCGCAATCGTTAAAATGACATGGTAAAACGACACGCCGGGCACACAAGCAGGGTGGGGTCCAAGTGGTGAGTAGCATGCCCGCCCAGCGACCGACCCCAGCAACTAGTACCAGCGGGTTCCGATAGCCTAGTAAAAGACGTTAGCCTGCCACGCCCACAAGACGGCCCTTTTCCGAGGAATAGAAGCCCTGGTATGCTGGGAACATTGGGTTGAATGTGATTTTGGTATGCGGGTTGAAGCTTCTTGGTTAACTCTCCACAGGGAAAGGTAGATGCAGCCCATTGCCGATTTTCGGAGATGCTCACCGAACCGCTAGCTACGACCACCGTGTAATGCAGACTAGTTGGGTTGCTCACTTATGTGCATGACCTGTAATGGTATGCCCAAATTGTCTACCATGTCAGGCCGCGTAGATATAGCTTTGTAATCAAAGGTCTGCGCTGCTGAGGCACGGAGGGACGCCGTATCGCCAATCATTCTGGAAACGAAACGAACTATTTCATCTTGTCCGGTGGCTCTGAAGGTGCCAAGATCCTATCTGGTGACTGGCATGGACATCCGTGATCTTTACATACGTCATATGGGTGTTATGGCACATCGAATGACATGCTGAAGCCCCGTCAAGCTCTCCCACGAGACCACTGCATTACGAGCCGAATAACGTCAGCCGATCCGTAAGGGTCATAACCGCTTCCTGAGCACTACAACCGCTTCCTAGGCTTACAACCATTTCCAAAGCGTCACAACCGTTTCCAAGGCGTCACAACCATTTCCTAAGCGTCACAATGGCTTACCAGGCGTCACAACCGTTTCCTTAGCGCCACAATCTTTGGTAACCCTCACGACCGTTTCCTAAGCGTCACAACCGTTTCCCAAGCGTCACGAAGGGTAATAACTGTTTCTTAAGCGTCACGAAGGGTCATAACCGTTTCCTAATCGTCACGAAGGGTCATAACCGTTTCCTAAGCGTCACAACCGCTACCAAGATCACCGGAGGCAGAGACCTCAGAGCAGAGGCGTAATGCAAATCGCCAAACGTGATGCTCGCTGAACTTTTACATCACTTCAACGCTATCCTCGCACATCATGATCGTAATAACACGGCCATCCAAGGTCAAAGCCATGTCAGTCATGAAATGGCACCATACGAACGTAAAATTTCGCCAGGGGAAAATCGTGTCACGGTCTGACCTGACCCAGTTTCACTCTCCTCGCATGCAGCTATATCAGCAGCGACGACACGAGTTCACACAGAGTGACTAGAAGGGACACGTCCGCCGTAGACGCCAGCGGGCAGCTTAGGTGGGTTGGACCTTGACCTCCGCGCGGTGCGGACGTGCCCTCGAGCTGTCGGCCGGCCGCCCGAGCGCGCCTTTTGGTGCAGGGTACCAACTGCTGTAAACCGATATGCCAGACGTACACGAATCATGCTTGATTCAAGCGCTGTGGTTTTTGGGACCCGAATTTCTCATGTGAGGTAAATCTCGTGATATTGCTAGCTAAACGATACATCCACATGCAACGAAGAAAAGAAGGTAGCTTTCCCCTTGAAGCATTTCGGGTGCATGTAGAACAATTCTTCCAAGCTGAACGAATACAAGCTTACAGAAACGAGCGGAATAAGCGGCGATTCACGGAACAGTGGTAATGTTTTGTGATGGTGACATCATCATATTCCGAACAGTGAAGCCCAGCAGCGGCAATATCCTCGCTCAGGCATGATGGCGTGTACAAATGTCTTGGCTTACTGGCACGTGCGTCGCTTCTCTGGAAGGTATCTCCAGCAGGACAAATTAACAAGTGTCATGTTGGACACAGCTGACCGCCACTGCGGCCGCTCGACCTTACACCGGCCGACCATTCATTGGTCCGTCCCAATTGGTCATTGGTCCGCTTCTACGCCACTCGAGAAACGGAAAACCCGTCCGCTCAGTGCGGTTCCTACCATCCCAGACAGGACGAGTGGACCATCAGGTATTCACAGCGCCTGCTGTTCCACAGCCGCATCAGTAATAACCGTCGGAAAAATTATCGATAATGACGCGGTGGCCCCGTCTGCGCTGCGAAGGAAGCGGAATGACCGAAGCCGGCGAGGGCTCAAACGACCCAAGTTAAAAGTTGTTAGAAGTTTTATGGACCTTGCACAATGGGTGGTGAAAAACAGGCAAATCATTGGAACGGTTGGCAAACCCTTCCCCAATATTTGTTTTTGCACATCGTCTGTGGTACTGGCAGAAGGCTATCATAGCGCTGGCAAAGGTGAATAAACGATCGACGCTGGCTGGGGTTCATATTAACGCGGTGTGCCCGCCTTTTTAGACGTTCCGAGGTTCACTTCAGCTTAAAATACGGCCACTCCATAAACAGAATGCCTAATAAGGCAAGCATTCAAAGATACAATATCTTACACCGCATGCCAATAAGCGCAATGACGCAGTCCCAACACGCAAAATAAATCATTTATTGCAACCAAACCGAAACAGTGAGTGCAATCCCGTCAAAGCCCACCCATGTGCGGTGTCATTAGCTCAGTGTGGCATACATATCGCACAATGCTGGACCGCGGCGTGGTGTGCGTTAGAGGTGCATTCATTATGCATTAAAATTTCATTTCTTATACTTTTCGTTAAATTACATTACCTCCGAATTATTTGGATGGACAGGGCCCGTCCAATTGTCGTCCTAGTATATTTGCAATCACTACCACAAAAACTTCCGGAAGCAGGCAGCGAAATTCGTTAGAAGCTGCGACGCAAGATTTTCCCGGCACTTAATGCAGGTTGCAAAGATCGGACGACGTATTTGTAGACTGGCAAAACAAATGCTACTTGCCAACCCTTTTCATCAACATAAAGCATATAAACACAAATCGCGTGAAAAGCTAGAGAACGCGGGTCGCGAACGAATCCAGTTCTATCTCCCCTCCCCCCCCCCCCCTCACACTTGGGTTCCAGCCCTCTCCTTCACCCTCGAGAAAAAGGTGGGTGAATCCGGGAGGAATCGGTTTCCCAGCTATTTTGGGTGTAAGTTTCGTTGTTTTTCACTGTTCAGCCCATCCACCCCTACACCACGCTCCTGCGTCACGGTGGCATGGGGCTTTTGCTGACAGAGAAGAAAACGGGCAACCGGACCACCGAAAATGCCGCTCGATGCGCCACTGTCACGCGCTACCCTGTGCGGACCGTATCTCCGCCGTTTGCGGCACTTTTATGGGTTGCTTGCGGATCTCAGCGACTAAAGAGGGTTGACTTCAAAACAGCTACATCGTGTATGGCGAACACACCGTCTGGAATTACGAAACGACTTCAGCTACCCGACCCAAAACTGTGCAAAGAACAGACCGGGCAGCAGCCAATGGCATCTCCTCCGAACTGGCGTCAAACGCAGTAAGCTCTGGCATGGGCTGACATAAATCGCGTTGTGAAAACTACATCGGGATTTTTATTTGCATCTGAAGTACAGTCTGTTTTACTGGGGCCAATATCCAATAGAACATATGCACTTTCCTAGTATTGCCAATCACCAGCCACCTAAGCTATTCCACATTAACCCGTCTAGACCACGATTTTCAGCATCACCTTCATGGCGATGCCAATCATGTTTGCCATAACGTGTACTACGGATTGTTACATGTTGAACACACCACTTTGGGCACACAATGCGATGCGGTATGCCTGGCGCTGACACGCAATGTTCAATGTGATTAGAAGAACTTTGAAGGTACTGAAATGCAATGCGCATTAAGAAACGCCCGGTTCAGGCAGCTCGGCCATACCAGCCTCCCTCGGCCGTGTCCACCTGCGCGCGTTGCCCAGGCAGCGTCACACCGACACCCAAATTTAAACAGGATTGCGGGAAGGATGTTCTCCGCACCATGCTATGCTATCAACCCGCCCCAACCTTACCTAACTGACCTAACCTAGCCTGAGGGCCCCACTCCACCCAGAGTGACCCCTTCCGGCCGGAGGCCACCTGTCCGTAGTGTTCATTTTCAACCCAAACAGATAAGTCCCTCTGGAACTTGAGCCACTGGAACCAGCGGGTCTGCCATCTATCCTGCACCATCCTCTGCAGGCAAGGCATCAATAAGGACATGTCGGCATTCTTCACCGTCTGGTGGCGTATTGTGGGGCACCGTGCGATCCAGAGCTCAAAACTCGTCTGTTATACACACTGCTGGCACATACAGACGCTGGCTATACATTTTAAGAGCTGGCAATTTTCGGCTTGTCGCAAAGAATCAGGGACGTGACGTTCTTACAATAGGTCTAAAAATTTCGGACAAGCACAACTCGATGAAAAGCCCTCCCCCCCCCCCCCCCCAAGTACAGGTAGGTCCCGGAGTGTGGCCGTGGTGTTCATGCCCCGGGGAACGAGCAAGGCCTCCTACAGCCTGCTCTCGACAATAGCTAGTCCTCTGCGCTACCGCCCGCCTAGTCGCATCAAAATATCGGTCATGAACGCAGTGTGGATAGACAGCTAGCATATGCAAAACACACCAAAAACAGTCGAGGAGTGGAAGAAACACGAATATTTAGCGTTCAAATACCCAGGAAGCTGGAAATGATATCAAAGGGAGCACTGCTACTACCAAAAACGAGACAACTACGCGAAGGATTACTGGCATGTGAACATTCAGGATGCATCGCAAAGGTAGGAGTTAATGTAGGTATCGTTGAGCTACTCCCCTTCCACCAACCCCAATGGGCATCGCATCATGGGGGCGCGGCGAGCGCTTCTTCTACAAATGGAGTGCCGGGGCCCAGCCGGGCAAGGGATGGAGGGGGAGGGGGGGGAGGGAGGGCGTGATCAATCGGTCATGCCCCAGTCGGCCGGCGTACCTATGCATGTCAGAGGTGACTTGGCTCATGGCACTCCAGCCCGACGCAATAACATTCGCTTCCACCTGTGCAATGGTGCCGCGCAAATCGCAGGCGAAATAGTCGACGCGCAGCAGGCCCAGCGAGACCGGCTGAAAGCAGAACAAGCTTCAGTGGCGCCGCCCTGTCGGCCGGGCCGCGAATCTCACCGGCCGCCGGCCCGGCGCGGTGCTGGGCGACGGACGTTCGACCCCGGCACCGCCGGCCGGGGGCGGGCCGTGGGGGGTCAGGGTGAGGGGGCGAGGGTGCGGGATGCGGGGGACGCCCTGCCGCGCAGTCGTGTCGCGACGTGACGCGTCCCAGGCATTGCGGGGGCCAGCTGTGTGGCGACGGGAAAGGCCGCCGCGTCGGCGCCCGGTGGTCACCAGGGCCACGGCTGGAGCGGAGGGAGGCGAGCGCCAGCGTAGCAGCAGCCCACCGCGTTCGCCAGCGGCACAAGCGTTTAGCAGCGGGCGCGCAGGATAACGTGCACGTGCTGGTGCTTGCTCATCGTGGTCTTACATATCGAGGCCATTTCCATGGAGCGTTCGGATAAAATGCAAGATCAGAATTTGATTTGTTGGACTCAAGGTAGATGACAACAAAGCCAGCAGCGCCCATTGAAAGCACACACAAAACACCGACATTTACAGGGGAGCTAACGTCCATTGAAAACGTCACATTTGAAAGTAGATGCAGTTTGAAAAAATAACTGAAAACCCGACACGAACCTGCTAAACGTAACTCGAACACAGACACATCCACAACAAACCACCTCTCCTCCATGGGGCGCCGAGCCACACTCAGGTAACATACAGCCGTGTATCGCTCACCTGGATCTCTAGAAACGTTTCATAAATAGCTGGGAATCAGGAGTCGACCAGATGACCAGGTTGGCACGACGCGGGAGTTGTTCAAGCGGGAAGTTAATTCGTATGTTTGAGCTACTTGATATAGCATAACCTACTACTTGGCCATAGATTAACACACATAAATTAATGGTCAGCCAGGTCCGTAGCTAACGCAAATACAGAGGCGACATTACTGTGCGCGAGCATTTTGCGCGGCAAGTCCAGTAAAAATGTCAACTGTAAAAACAGCTCAGAAACAGTCTCCGATTTGCATTTGGGCGTTTTCACACACCCTAGTTCCCCTGGGCGTGGTCTCCTTCTCTCCTGGTTCGGCCGCGTGTACCGTAGCTGCCCCTCCCCCCGTTCGGTAGTCCGTTTGGCCGGTAATCTATCTCGATATGCGAAACATAACTTTCACGTTCCTTGTCATGAAAATAATCCAACGGAATTCATCCCAAATGAAACCATCTGCGAAACTTCTTGATGAGTTGCAGGTAAGTGAGAGCGAAACGTTACGGCGCCCAACACTTCTCCCCCGTAATGCATTGGTTACGATCTGTTAAAACACTTCTATCCCGCATGCGTCTCATACTTCACAGACACCCCCTAAGCCACATTGGCGTATTGCAATCAATCGCAGTTCATGAAAGCCCTTGTTTTGTCTTAACCTTTCTCGACCGCTACGGGACATCCAACCTCATCAGTTGTCCGGAAACTGGTGGTATCAGGTCATTGTCTTAGGCTTGGGGACATAAATATTGCAAGCATTTAGGCTTGTTGTCATCCCCACCCTTCCTTCCCATCTTAAAGCCGACACATCGGTGTCTGGGCACGGCCTGACGCGATGGTTAGTTCGATGACATTCTTGTTGGGCAAATCGAAAATTTGGAGAACTCCTTCTTGGTTTTTATGTTTATTTTTGTTTCTTTGGTTTTCTGGTTTGTTTCGTCGGTGTAGGCTTTTTTACGCTTTGTCCGAACCTTTTGAATGGATGGACGTCTGGGATCAGAGCTCACGCTAAACGGTACCTGTTGTGTGAGTTTGACCCCCAGGATCCGATCGCGCATTCCATTTCAACGGCAGAATTTAGCGGCGAAAGCTTGACGTGCCGCAATGGCCGGCACGGTCCGCCCCGCCCTCTAACGTCACCTGACCTTTAACAAGGCCGCTGCCACCAGCCGCAGGCCATACCTGTCAAGGACAACTAGCGAGCGCCTAAAGCGACTCGACCCACCCCGCCATGGATGAGTAAATCGGAAGGCAGGCGCTCTAACCAGCTGGGCAACGGAGCGGAACTTGGTTGTTGGTTTGTTTGTTTTTGTCGCACGAAAATTTTGAAGCCACAAAGCTATTCAATCAGGCTACTCTATTTCGGATGCTGAAAATTGTGACGTCCCTTTAAAAAGCAGTTTGTAGTCTGACAGCCTCATGTATCCAATGTTTGACGCTTGTTGGGTGGGCAAATGTGGGAACTGACACGAAATGGCAGTTCTACATTTGAGGCATTTGGTATTCCTACATTCATATGTTCCGTAAAGATCGTACTTCCATGCACTGTATCTACCCAAAACCTGCTCGGCAATGCATCTTGAAAGGTTGTTATTCACACCATATGCACTGCCGAGGGGCTGACAATATGTTTTACTCAAATTATGTGAAAAATGCACGAAAGAGTGCTTACGATATCCTAGAAAATATAGAATAATTCGATGAAGTGCGCAAATTTTCTTAGGTCTAATTTCTAAGCGTTTCTATTAAATTCGATTGTTTTACATACTCCTTATTTCATTGAGTTACTGATTCTAATCTGATATGACAGTGGATCGCTGGGATGACCTTTATAATGAATTTGAGCCAGGTGAATCCATTATAACTACACCAGTGGTTTCCTTTGGTCTTTTCCTCGTTCCACAGATGTATGGACATTTTAGCTGCCAGTACAAGTAACTTTCCGATTGAGCAAAGAATACCCAATGGCAGAACAAACCCTGGGACTCATTTGCAAGGCTGATGTGTTCAACAATTTGTCACCACAGTCTGTGCTGCATGAATTCTCGCCTCTCAACTTGATTCGGTTTCTTTGAAACGGGCCTGTCAGGTCAAACGAGCCCGCTCCTAACCAACAAAAAAGTTACGCCATATTAGAGCCAGATAAGGCGCACCGTGCAATACGAGTTTCTAGAAATGTGCCTGTAAATGCCTTTCATCCTAGGCAATCATGAAACACACGGAAACGAGGAGGGAAGACCGCAAACTTGTGGCTTGGCGCTACTAGTCCACACTTCGCATACCTAGCCATTGTTATAGACAAAGCGAATGCCGCTCGACGCAGTTTTCTAGACAACCTCCACCTCCGCCCCGAATTCAAAGTCCCACGTGTCATTTACGTGACCACGTTCCCAGAACGACACAGCGAGGGGGGAAGGGGGTAGTGGTGTATCCCCCGGCATGTCGTAGAGATTCACGGCAAGGACAGCACCAATATCTCGTTTCACAAAGTTCAGAGGCCGCGGTCCTCAGCTAAAACGATAAAGCCTGCATACGGATCACCTTCGCACCTGATAACCTGTACGACGAAGAGCCGTGGCTTCGAAAACGGAGGAAATCCTCCCTCGATGGGCACCTGAGCCGTGTGTGTCCGTGATGAGTATCATAGGTAGTCACTGATTAATGCCTGAAGCTCTGAGACTATTCCAGTCTCTGCAATACGAAATTCCAAGGCCGGAGATCAGATGAGCGTATCAACCCCGCGCGCGGGTCGTCTACCCTCTCGTCTAATGTCCACCCTCGTCTACCCCCTCTCACCAAGGTACCGCTTCGGCAGTTGTCACCGCCCGCGTCCACGCCGGGCGCAGAAGACTGCTCTTCTCTCCGCCTCCGCCCCCGCCCCCGCCTGTCATCTCATTCTTGTCACGTCAAGGTGACCCATACAGGCACTCAATTATAACCGCTCACGCTACGCGGAAGACACACTGACACAGGAAACGCTGGCATCACGACAGCATGCACTGGTCCTTCGCAACCAAGGGAAGGGCTGTGCATCACATGAAACTGCAATGTTAGCGAGACAGCGTTCCATGCTACTGTCGGCGTTCCACAAAACGCTTGGAACTGCCAGCATTCGTTTATATTTGTACTGTTGCAAAGCGCCGTGAGGGACACACTTCTAGTTCGCAGGCAAGATGCATGCTTTGTGTCGATTGACATTACTGACATCATTCAAGTTCGCAAAGTTTGCTGCATGCTTGAAATCGTGGTTGCATCTCTTGCTGTCTACGAGCGCCGGCCTGGTAAACATTAACAGATGGCACATATTTACGGATGCTTTGATTTTCGCATACAAGATGATCCTCTTCAAGGGCGCACATCCCGCTCGGGAGCCCTCATGAAGCGTAATTTCTCAGTTTTCACAAGCTTCGTGGATTCAGAGACAAGCTTTCGGGATTTTCCCATCTTTAACATTCAGATGCGAGTTTCTGAACTATGCGAGACGAGATAATGAGCTGTCGTGGCAAACGAGAAAATTCAGGATCAAAATGGGCACCCGCGACACAATAAACACCTATTCAAAGTAACATGCCAGTAATCGCATGATTCTAGGTCAACTAATTGATCCCTTCACAGAAGGGTTGATTTCCGCGACTTCAAATTTGTAATGCCGCGCCACCACGCTGCTCGAATATCTCACTATATTGCAGTTTTCGAAATGTCCGTCCGCCCGTCTGTCACGCACAGATGCATAAGCGGCCCAGCGCGGCTGTCAGCTGGCCATGCAAACTTTGGCACGCAGCCAAGCTAGCAAAAGCGCATCGCAGTATGAAATGCCGGATTGCATCCCACAGGCGCGGCGGGGCACCGTCGGCAGGACAACGAAAACAAAGGAAACGCGAAATTCGCAGGATGCCAAAAGTCGCACATCGGAAAAACAGATGGAAGTGAGAGTCGCTGAACACCCAGGCGCGCGGGCACTCATGAGTAAATAGCCGATTCGACGGTTTTGGCGCATTTTCAGAATCGATATCAGTTTATGGAGACACGAGATCACACGTGGAACAGACTGCACCGTCTCGGTGCATTTACCGCACAAATCACTCAAGCATCCCAGCACTGTCCGACCGATAACAAAGTCGGCGACCGAACGGAAAGCGACCAATGTCCGCTTAAGACCCAATCTCAAATACAACACACTTACGCCTAAACCGAACGAAATGGTTTTGATGTTTATCGGCGTTTTAGGGCGCGCCGACTGCAATGATCATTCTGAGCTCGGATCATGTAATTGACGCTGACAGGAAGCCCAGTTCACGGTGAACAATGTTCACCTAAAATATTTGTATATCTCCCAGCACATCGATCGCAATCGTCCAAAACGTCTGTCACCGCGACCTTTCCGTTTCGTTGGCGCCAAACGCCGCGCCCCACGGCCGGCGCGCCATCGACTGTTTATTTATTGAAATCGCTAGTTTGTACTGGCGGTCCTCCGCGCCGGATATTCAGGCGTCACCGTGCGTTCTGTAGCCAAGGTCGACGTTAAAAAGGACAAGAAGGATTCGTCTGGGACAAAAGCATGCAACTGTACTGGCGCTCATATCCATTTCTGCGTAAAGTGGCCTTGCGCTGCCGAAAGCAATAACTGGACTCGCTGGTTCCACTTCATACATACCCCGCAGTATATCGCATATCCGCGCATGAAGGGACGTTTGGCAGCCAAAAGCCATAGCGACAAGGGGCTGAAATATTGTCACTGAGACAATAGCGTTTACACACAGCCGTTCTGCAGCAGCCCGGCAGCGTGTGGCTAGCGCGTTCATTGACCACGCGCTGCCCAGCGCAATACATGAACCAGATAAATTTATCACATATCGTGCTAGTTGTTAAACTCAGTCTGAGTCGGAATCTTCAAATTTTGCTTACGGTGGCCGGGAATGAAGTTCTTGAAAACCTTTCGGCAAATGCTAATACACATTTTTCAGTTCCCAACAAATTTAGGCTCCCAGGACTTGTACGGGGTGAGGTGATAGTGGTGAATGTTTCAAGTTTGACCCGCACTTCCGACCCCCGCCCTCCAAAATTTTCTACCTGGCTTTGGTCACTTCATGGTTTTAGTCCAATCCCATTCCTATTAAAAACATGGAATGTTGGTGCGATCCTGTCATTGTTTTACTACTGCCGCTTATGTTTTCCCTTTGAAACAGATCCAGTAAAAGCTTAAAAAGCTTATGCAAATGATACCCTTTTGTGCTAATCGGAGCATACCTAATATCTAAGGGAAACGCAGTAGTTATACTACGAGAAGGCTGGCAGTATTTGCCCAAGACATCTTTTTGGCCAATCCAACCTAACGAGTTATACCCGCAAGCAAAATACATATTTGTTATTACTTACAAGCGAAATACATATTTCGGATTCAGCACCCAAAAAGTTGGAAATGGAACTTTTCAGTTGAAAATCATCAGCAAGCAGTCATGTAGTTGGCCAGAACCTGCTACGATTTGATACAGCAGGCACAAATAAATTTTCAAAATGTTGCCGATTCGTAACGGGCAGGTCAAAAAGTATTAAAACCGCAGTGAGCTCGGTGCCTTTTCTGCGACCATTTGAAAAGCAATCCCCGCCTTGTCTATGAGCATGCTTGGTTCCACAGTGCATATGCAAGCCGATTTATCGCAATTAAACTGTCCGGCTCATGTATCATCGTGGTCTGAAGTAGGTGCACTCAACGCAGTATAACCAAAAACACGTGCAGGATCGTGACACCTCCATACATATCACGTTAGAATCCCGACCGCCCCAGCAAACCAATCGAAGCAACGTTCAGCCTGCCCCGTCCACCAACAGTCGCAGGCAACGGCCACATCTCGCCAGCACCGCAAAAACAGAAGGGTTACCTATGACAATCGTTAAGGACCGAGGAGACAGCGGCGAAACTGCACGCGATTGTGTTGTTCTCCACTTGCTTAACGGTCCGAGTGGGGGCGTCGAACATATAGTCGCTGCGCAGAAGACCCAGGCTCGGGGCCTGAAAAAGCAAACAGCGACATGCGCTCGGTGACATCACGCCAGCACGATGCACTGAGTACCCCAAGCGATGTGACGGCCGAGACGCTCTACTTCGAGATGAAGGCCGTCGCAGCGTGGACAGCGCACGAGGTAACTCAGCGGCGGACAAACAGCACCTGGAAGTACTCGACCAGGTGAATGCGTGTCACGGGAAGCATATGCGGACTCGGCCGGCAGTAGCTTAGATGCGTTAGTGCATTCTGGTCAATGCTATAAAAAGCCAGCAGTCACAGAAAGCGAGCAACGGGAGAGGTGGCAAGGTCAGCATCTATGCAGCTTCTCGCCGCCCCGCCGCCGCCGTCGCCGCTGACGCATCGCCGTCAGGCGATGCGTCTCGGACCAATCACTTCACGACGCAGGCACGTCGACGCCCGAGGACGTTCGTGATTGGCTGAAGGAAGCGCGGGGATGGCGGCCCGGACGTCCGGCTCGTGACCCGCTGCCTGGCCGGACCACCGGCGGCGGGGATGCAGGGTCAGGGACGGAACTCAGCGGGCGTGTCCGCTGGCGCGGCGAGCTGCGTGTGAAAATAAACGGGAGCGCTGCGAGCCGGGTCCACAGAAGCACCACTGCAGGGCCGGATGACGCCACCCGCGAGGGACGGATCCACGAATGGCTCGACAGTGCATCCAGTTAGCAGGATGTTAAGCTTCAGATCCCGGTGGAAGGCAAAAGGCAAGAAAGCGGACGGTGGTCGGAGCACGTTTCAGCCGCACTCCATGAAGAAAACACCAACCGCGAGACGCTAGGCGCATTCTAGCCATTTGTAAGTCTAGCTCGAATTGACATCTCATAGCTTTGAAAAGTTAGCTCAAAGATATTTCAAGTGATTTCAGCTAACTTTGCCGTAACGGCGTCAACCTGACGCTCGAATGCCGTGGAAAATTGGTCATATAGCGGCGACGCACGAAAGCTGCGGGGCAGATAAACACGCAACTATTTCGTTAGACATCACTGACAAAATGCTGCCTCTTATTGTACAAAACAACTGATCTCACAAGCACTTAGAAATTCAAGGAATCTGTGTGAAAAGTTGGAGAAAACTGGGAAAATTGGACCAAACCGGTCCATAGCAGATCATCTCCAACCGGCATACCACTGCAGTTTTTTTCAACAGAACTCAGTGCGTCCCGCAACTTAGTGACAAACAAAACAGAATCCACAAACAACGATGTTTTAGTTTGCCAACCAATGCAGTTATTAATATGATTCAACCAATACCTGTAACATCTTCTAGCTGAATAAGACGACTGATGTAAAAGCAAGACATACAGCTTATCCTCTGGCATTATTGAAAATTACCCACGTCTTACCTGGCACAGACCCTCGTCCATCACTTTCTGGTAGATGTCAAAAAGCCGAGCCGTGAAGTCGTCCACCAGTATCGTGCTGCCAAACAGGATATTCTGAACTTATAATAAAAAGAAAAGTAGGAGTTGTATATACCCCTAAACCGCTTAGTCGCAATTTCGATCACCGCGAGCAGTCGCATGAGTGAGCCCAAGTCAGAATGAGACCAGGCTATAGAAGTCAGAATAATATCAATGAAATACAGAAGCGATGTCGAAGACGCATTTCGAGGTTCAATATTCGCTATGTGGCGGTATGTGCACAGAAGTACGGCTTTGGCTCATTTACCAGACCTGTATCTTCTACGGTCGTGAGGGGCGCAACCCATGCCACACAGAATAATGACATCCCCAACACCATCCAAAACCAGCACCTTTTTAGACAGCTGGTGAGAAACTGTCTATCGTAGGCCACGCAGAAGGTCAGCTTGTTCATGACGGTCTGCGCCAGCAGCGCGGTACGGAAGCCGCGCTCAGGGAACAGCGAGGGGAAGAGGAAAAACGGGGCGAAGCGTAACTCGTCGTCCGAGGTCGACTCTCGCAGCCGCAGACCGCCGCCTGCAGACGCACACACATACGCACACGTGTTAATCACACACACCGACGGTACACGGGCTGACAAGACGCCGTGTTCCAACGTGTAGGCGCGCCACTAACTGACGCCGTCTTCAGACACGCAAACAGATAACCGACAGACACGGGTGGAAAACGCCTACTTATTTTTGTGACCGACACTGTCTGCAAACAAACAGATACGATACTGATTGACACCGCCTTCAGAGACGCGGACACATAACTGGCACGCGGCGGGTGGGCGTACGGACGCCTTAGTCACGAGCGCAGAGGAGAAGCGCGCACACAGACAAACGCCGCCTGCAGACACGCACACACCTTACTGACGGGTGTAGTGGGTACGCATGCGGACACACATACTGACGGACAGTGGCTGAAGACGCGCATACATGTGACTCACAAGTAACGGTTGTGGACACGCGAACACATCGCTGCCAATCATCATGTGGGTGATGCCAGACAAGGTCCTGTCAAAAGACACCGACGGATCCTAATCCAAACTCATTGGCCACCACATGACCTGTTGATTAATCTCATCCTGTTTCGGGCATATCGTGTTTACGTTGTCAAGCGCCGATGTAAGACGAAGTGACAAAACGCTACATTTGGCGACGAGGGTGGGGTTTTGTGCGTCGCCAATGTCACTGTTGTCCAACAATGTCGGTGCATTTACTAGACGGGTCCACACTAAGCGACTGAGTCCTCATTTCCTTGAATGGTGCGCAGACGCACGCGTCATGGCTGCCGCAGCCCTGCAGCCCATCCACTGAGTGGCCCACTGGGAAACGCAAGTTCAATAACCACCTGATTACACCCTCCGGAAGCAGTCAGAACCCAGGCCGTCGTCGGCCAATCAGACTTGGACCTGGCGACGCGCCAGCTCCGGGAATTCGACACCCCACACAATAATGCCACTGTTGAGCGTCTCAGCTCCCGATGGCACTGTCAGCTGGCCGGCGGGTCAACGGTCGAGCTCGCAGCCAGTCCGGTCATTTCGACCCCACTCGGCTCCATTGGCATACACCCTCTGCGACAACCATGGCGCCGTTGTGTCTGGTAAATGTCCAAACAAATCCCGCCTGGTGTCGCGCAATGTACTTCTACGAAGCGCTTGAGACGAGGTATAAGTATCGTGTGAAATAACTGTTCGGACTACCGTCGACTTCTGGCGAGGACGATGGTCAGAAAAATTAATATATTCGTCGCGCAATGCATCTGTGTAACTTGACACTGCGGGATGTGTAGTCGTTGTAATGACGTTGCACTCTCCTAATAAAAGCTCACTGATCACCGCGACCATCTCTAAATACAGCCCAACCGTCATGGGCTGCATCGTGTTTATGTTCGCAAGCGTCGACGAACTGCAAATTGACACAACACGCGCCATAACCAGGACACGTACCCACACTAGTGCGGGATCTACAACAGAGCTAAAACAAGCCTTACATGGCCACGGCTATGTCGGCATATCTCACACGACGCCGCAGGAGAACGTGGAACATTGCTCTGAAGTCTCATACAAACCTTCATAACGCAGAAGCAATGAGGTTGTGGCAGAGTGCAAACACATTTGGGAGACCCTGTGTGTAACGGATCCAGCAACGCGCCGATGGTATTCTCTTTCACGTCACGTAAAGGGGTACAGGTGGGCAGTGAAATACCATTACTTATTATGTGAGTACGGTCCACAACATTTAAGTAATGGGGAAATGATTTCCTACAAATGCCTACTCAATCAGATGGTCTTAGATGAACTCCTTTGCTTCGGCATAGTCTGAACAGTTGTCTTCATTTATGCTGTCATCTGTTACATGCCACACATTAGTTTAACGAATAAAGTGCCGAGAAGAGTAAGTTACCGACCGGTCGCTCAAAAACTGTCATGACAAAAGCTCACACCCGCACAAAATCTTCATTATAACCTGGAATCAGAAACCAATTCACGCTAACATTCAGTCCCCATAATGTATCACAAGAGCGTATCTTACCATGCAGCAGTAGGAAGTCACGTTCATTCTTGGCAACTTCATCCAGCACTTTCTCATCCATCGGGAACTTCAAAAATGGATGCTGGTTCGAGGTCTGTGACATCTTGAATAGCGAAATGTTACTTGCCTAAGTAACCTGCAAGAGATCAAAGCAACTGGAATAACTGGCTAATTTCGGTACGCGGCTCCTACTTTAATCACGAATCTTGATCTTGTGGCGTTAAAGCCAAAAACCGTGCATGCATGAGGTACTTTTTGAAGCAATAAACTGTCTGGCTCAACACATGCTGTTAAGATGGACGAAGAGAAGCTAGGGGGGGGGAACGTATCAAGGTTTTAAAAACCGTGCGTCATTCGCCATCAAGGTTTTGTTTGCAGCAGTATGCCTTTCAAGTACGAATGAACCTTCAGGCATTCAGTCGGACTTCATGACGGTCCATTTCTCCACCACAAGAGATCCCCCGCGGAAGCCATGTAAACCCCCAGCGGTTCCCTGAGGCACACGAGCCAGATGAAATAACATCAGAGTGTGCTGCTAATTACTGAAAAAACCCGCCTACCGAGGCGGTCCTATCCACAAGTCAACCAGCTCCAAGCGCACTAACATGCCAACTGTACTGGCTGGGTTATGGCTTATGGTACGCTATCAATAGCCATATGGGTTGATGACATATATATATATATATATATATATATATATATATATATATAATCTGTGTGTGTGTGTGCGTGTGCGTGTGGTGTGCGTGTGCGTGTGCGTGTGCGTGGGCGTGGGCGTGGGCGTGGGTGTGTGCGTGGGCGTGGGGCGTGGGCGTGGGTGTGGGCGTGGCGTGTGCGTGGGCGTGTGCGGGGCGTGGCGTGGGCGTGCGCGGGGCGTGGGCGTGGGCGTACGCGTGCGCGTGCGCGTGTGCGTGTAACTTTGTGCTAGGCACTTTCATCATGTGGAGATAACCATGCAAAGATAGTTCAAATCATATGAAATGACATGCGAAGGTAAGTCGCACCTTCTATGATACCGATTCGCTATCTTACACGATCAGCTCCTCCATAGCTTTGATTAATTTTGGCGTGCTAGCCTCAGAGGATCTCTCTGACAGAGAGTCTTCTTAAGTGAGCTGTACCCACATGCCAAATCGGCGGACCACCTAGCTGCCACGTGGGGCTGTCCGCATGTCCATACCGACCAGGTGCTTGCGAATTTCTTCGGCTTACTCACCACTCTCCATTCAAGTTAGGATGTGCCCTCTGTAGTCACTATACCATTGTCTTTGACAAGCTACAATTCAAGGGACAGTAGCAGCAGAGAAGTGAAAAGGTTGGGTTGCAGGAATAATATTATTTTACCTGGTGAAGATGATCATGTGCTACACTGTCAAAACCTCCTCTTCCACAAACTGTTTGATCCACCAAATGTTTGATCCACTGTCTTAATTTAAGAAAAATCAATCACAAGGTCATTGAGATTGGGGACCTATATGAAATGTCAACTGCACCAAATGATCTGCACGATGACTTTTTCACTTCAAAATCCAGTAGCAGATGTGGAACACGTCCTCAAAGGGGAACATTCCACCACTTGCAGTCAGCATACCTAAAACACCAGTAAGCAACACAACAAAAGCACCTGCAAGCAATATCTGAGCTACACTGTCAACACATGTGAATTGTAATTGCAACATGTATCTACTACAATGAGAACATGTTTGCTCATCCATGCTCTTAATGATATGAAATCTGCACAATGATGAACAATGTAATACAGTGTAACCACGTGACCTTATTTAACCTGGCACAGGCCTTTCAGGTGGCCTTCAAACATAAACTATCTGACAAATTATCATGACTGCTCTGACTGTTGTGTATCATGCTGTCATAACATGGGCAGTCATACCTATGATCATGGGAAGTATGGAAAATATTAGACCTTCCAAGCAAATTAGACCCTCCTTTATCAGAGGTCCCATGCAAACAATCCATGTTATTCCCAACTGATAGCGGTGCGAAACAACTAAAATTGTGTTCATTCTATGGATATGGCACAAATGTTTGTATTATATAGCAGTACAAGGCACACATGACCTCAACAGCCTGGCTTAATTTCAGAGGAACCAAACTAATCCCAAAAAAGAACAATTGAACAGCCTATGTGGTCATCACTGCATCTGTCATGTCCCCCCTCACTTCGCCTTTTTCAATGTGGCAGCCACCTGTGGTGGGTCCAATATAAGGGTTTTGCAGGATGCCAGACTGAAATCTGCAAGTGGGCCTTCCATGAATTACATTACACATTCTCAGACATTTTTTACCACTCCCCCTGGTTATGGACTTATTATGATCAATAAAAAACTTATCTTGTTCATCTTAGAGTATCACTTAGACTTTTGATGTACATCTATAAGCACACCTCACAAGCTGTTAGCCTGAAATCTGATACGGGCCACCCATAAAATCCATTACCCATTTTGAGCCATTTTCCCCACCCCAGAAATGTACTGATTATGCTAAACACACTAAATACACTTGATAATAAATACATACACTAAATACATGGCAAGTGTGATAAAACACATTTACCCTGATTACCCTGCATTAACTATCATGTCCCAAAAAAGGTTGTGTCCATTCAACTTTTAGTTGAACAATGGATGAAAAACGAGGGCAGGCATGCTACTCATCACAGTAAGAAGTGATTGGAATTGGGTTGCATAGTTTCAGAACTAAGTTACTGTGAAAATAATTTCAGGGACTCCATGATGACCCACAGATATACCGGAGCATAACATTGCAATGTAAAACTCCTCCCCTCTTGTTAAGCTTTGGTTACATTCCTTCAAATACCCATCCCCCATTTCAGGATGACATAAGCATGCAGGCCTTCATAAAACATTCTATCCTGAAGGACGAATACTTTGTAGCTCTATGTGGGCGCAATTCCTTAACCAAGTTCAACACAATACGCTGCGCATGCGTCCCAGTGCAGCATCAAAAACTACAATGTTAAGTCATTACAGAGAACTTGAACAGCGTGAGGCTACTTTTCGTACCTTTCACGCGTTCTTTCGGTGGACAAACACCACGCAGTTCAATCCAGAACACCTATGGTGCTGAGCCCTCCCCGCGCGGCCTCAGCTGAGCACGATACATACGTTATCACTCCATGGGTTGTAGTTATATCTAAACTGAATTTAAATGACTCTATCGCGCCATAAATGTACTTTCAGGTTGGATAAATTGTTGCAGAATGTTGGTGATGGCTTACTTCATTTGGATGGTGTCGTACAGTATATAGTGGGTATTGTGGAGAAAATGAGCTGGGCTGTCCTCTGTCACTATAAAATTTACCTTTTGTGGTTAACCTTGTGACCTCTCAAAATAGGTTAAATCGCATTTCCATGGCACGTTAGGAGCATTTGTTACTTCTGCTGTTGAAGTACGGCCGAGAGATAAGGCCGTCCGGTGATTATCGCCTTACCTTCTTAGCACGACGTTATTGGTTCCGAGATTTCAATGCACGACGGGACGCTAGGCGTTGGATGGAATGCTAAGGGGCAACCAGAACATCGAAATATACGTTCAAGTGTTGAAAAAGCTATTTGTGAAATGTGCACCTGACCAGCGAGCTGATAAAGTAGTGATGATATGTGTTGTAAACTTATGCGGCAAGCCTTCAACATACAATGGTATAAAAGTGAAGACGTGCTCACGAGACTTAATCGCAATACGGCGGCGTGGATATCGAGAAATCTGCGCACCAAAAACAAGCAAACTGCAAATGGCAGATGTTTGTGACTAGCGAGCCGATCACGTATAATTTAGCAAGTATGATGCTGTGTCTGCAAGCCATTGCAATGCTTTTCGATCCCGTACGGCCTCACACTCTGTGGTCGTGCCGCTGCGAGGGGTGCGAGCGACTGACGAGCGTGGCGAGCCTGTTGTCCGCTTCAGTACCGACCATCGTGCTTGGTCTATATCTGTCTGCAGGGCTGGCCGTGTTTGTTCCGTGCCTGTCCATGTAACTGACGTGCCTTGTATTCATCTACCACAGGGCTCGGTCCCTGCCTGTAGCACAGGACCCAGTGCACCATGTATGCTCTCAGGCCAAGTCACTGGCAGTGTAAGCTACCGCCTGAAGGTTGCAGTTTTGGTCAGCAGGTGACGTGATACTGCGCTGGTACAATCTCAGTCCGTGAACCTTCCCACCGCAACGCTGGTGGGAGGTTCGCCTGCCACCTGCGTGCCATCCATCCGCTGTTGCAAAGACCATTTGTGGTAAGCCCTGGCCAATGGCAAATGATGTGATATATGAACCAAAGAAGCCAGCTGTCGTGTTTCTACCGTGGCATTTTAGGCCTCGGGCACTGACGCCTTGGCTCAGTCACTCGCATGGGCGTAGTTTCACAAAAAGAGCTGGGGAGCTGGATAGTGATGAAATGACCCAGGCAGTCCCAAAATACGCCAAAAAAATAAGTTGCTCGCCAGACGGTTTTCCCACTTTCTTTCTCCGCTCCCACTTTCAAGTCCACAATTCTTTCCAAAGCTCCAGAGACGGAGTCTGAAGCCCAATCGGGGGGGGGGGGGGGGGGAGCTGAAGCTCATAGGGCGTAGAAGCGTTTCAAAAAGTGGGGGGCCAAGCTCAGGGTGTACTTCAGGAACTTTTTTTGGAAAGCGAGCCCGAGGCCAGTGACCGGGGAGGGGGGGGGGATCGGGATAGGGGTGGTTATCGCTCTTTATTCAAATGGCATGGCTGCTATGCTAGATAGTGCATATAGAGCTCTTTCTCACTGGTGCACGATCCTTGCCTATTCGACTCATCTGTCATTTGGCAAATAAGGCTATCCAGTGCCCTTAGATTATTTGTCCATTTTAACGTTGTCTTTCCTAGGGGAGGCGAATTTCACGAGCGGGTGGGCATTTTGGGTCATTGAGGAAGCATTTGCCTCAACAGTGTAGATATCAAAATACGGTCTGGGTATAGCCTGGTGAGAATTTCGAAAGTAGATCGATGGCTCACAATGCGGGCTCAATATCTCTGGAGAACACAGTAGTAGATGCAAAATAAGGCCAGGATATAGCCTGGTGATAATTTTGAAAGTAGATCGATGGCTCACAATGCGAACTCAGTATCTCTGAAGAACACAGAAAAACATGGAACTGGAGTCTTATGTGAAAACTATCGGATTGTCTGCAGTGATCAGGGATGCTGTTGCGTCAATGAGGGTCTCTGTGCTGATCCGTGGCCAACTTCGCCGGTCAAAAGGCCTCCCGTGTCAGGGAGGGGAACAATTTGAATATGATGCGTCCTTCTCATGGCCTCCGGATCGACCAGGAGATCCCACCCCGTGCCACCAGAATGATAGCCAGAAGACACTTTGCGATGGGACGGAATGGCCCTTCAGCCCTTGACCGGAAACGGTAACGTACTCCTGGTGTTCTACTCAACAGCCCCTTCGCCCGGAAGGAATTTATAGGTCTCATTATTGTTGAGTAGAGTGGGGCTCTCATTATTGTTGAAAAGCACGGGTCGAAATGAACTAAAAAAACGAGCAAGGCCATGCCATGTTTGCCTGAGAACGTTTATTTCTTTCAGAATGTGTTATTGAAAAAATTACATCAAAAGGCTTGAACATGCCTACCCGCAAGCCTCGAGAGACAGGACAAGGATGGTCTGGGTAGCAGCTTCCGTAAAACCGAAAAGTTTCGGCCACTGCAAGTACCACCAGACGGCGGGCGTCGTGTTAATCTGCCTTCCAGACAGATAAATAGCTGCGGAAGCACGAAACATAGAGATTTAACCTTCACTCTTCCAGTTCAACCACCAGATTCCAGCCCCAGCAGCTGCGGTGTTTTCAGGGGCCAATCCGTTCTTATCATCAATCTAAAAAATCCACGCGTGAATATGCTCTAAGACTGGTTTCTAAATACAAGATCTGATGTCATGAAGCGTGCAAAAGATACTTTCTCAGAAGCGTCGTCAGTTTCGCCCCCACGTTGACCACAACTTAATATTGGCTGCTAGTCCGACGCTGCGCGGCCTACGGAGACTGCAACAGCCTGGGGGCGAGGCTTGTGCTTCTAAAATTTTCGAGTGCGCGTGCTCAAAATTACGCCACATAACTTGTATCACTAGTTGATTTAAAGGTAATCAAAGGTAAAGGTAAAGGTGTTGAAGGTGTAAATCAAGGAAAAGGTATTAAAAGGTATAGGTATAATCATTTCATAAGAGTCATCATTTTCGTCCACAGGTGGGTCCATGGCTAAATGTTAGCTACTAGGCCTAACGCTTCGCGGACTACGGAGACTGCAACGCCTGGTGTCGAGGTTTTTGTTGCTAAGATTTGTGAGCGAGCGTGTTAAAAAGCGCGTTACAATAACTTGTGTCACTAATGGATTCTGGCTGAATGGTGAACATTTTTAGACAAACATGACTTGGCCATTTAATACACATTGTTGATTACTCAATTTGCAATCAAATTTTTGTATTCAGATTTGGATCAAACACATCGATCTACAACCTGCCTTCGCAATGTCCTCAATGTCTATACAAGCCCGATAAAAATTTGACAAAACGTCTGAATTCTATTGGTTTAGAGATAGTCAGCTAAACATTGTAAATTAAGAGCGCCGGTGAGTTCTTCCATGCAGTAGTTCAAGTGCTGATTTCTGCAGCTTATTGACCTCAAAATACAAACGAAATTGAGCTCACGGTAGCTCCTGGTGTCTGTTATGGTTACCAGGTAAAAATACAATTAAAACGAAGAAAATCCTGTCCCTTGTTAACCAGTAAGCTATATCCAGGGATCTTGGGGATCACCATAAGATGGCCTTTTGTCAACCCTGTGTTCCCTCTTGGCAAGGCTCTGGCTACGCCCCTGCCTACACACAAAAGCAGATCAAGTCGCGTACGTCGCATGATGGGCAATGAAGTGTCGGCTGGGCCACTCCATACCTAAGGCAGACAGCTTCCCGGAGGCTATTTTTCTGCGATGGTGTGGTACAAGAGAAGATAATTCGTGGAAAATACTGTTGCAGGTATCCAACATATGCTTCATACACCATGTAGAAGTAACGTTGATCCAAAAGCACGCAACAAGTATGCCACACGATCAGCTCGCAGTCAGTCATGCGGGAGACATCCAGGCGAGGGCAGTGACCACCCGACGGCGGACAGGAGCAGGGCCCACATAATGGAGCACAATGACAGATGGCCCTTATTATGTGGCTTGATTCTTAAAATAGAATCTCCAGTTCTATGGATTTCTTCACATTGTTTCTAGCAGTTTCAAGCTCCCTGAATTTGTTTCCGTCTAAAATGCTGCGACAAGTCTTACTTCTTGAGAAGGAGGTAGCGACATGAAGGCGCATGAAAAACCTGGCGCGCTGTGAGCCATCGATCCACTTTCAAAATTCCCACCATGCCTATATCCATGCCGTATTTTGGCATCTTCACTGTGGAGGCAAATGCTTCCTTAATGGCCCAAAATGCCCACCTGCTCGTGGAATTTCGTCTCCCCAGGAAAAGCAATGTTAGAATGGAATATCTAGGGAAGCTGGATAGCCTTATTTGCCAAATGACAGATGAGTCGAATAGGCAAGATTGTGCACCAGTGATAAACAGCTCTAGATGCATATCTAGCATAGCAGCCATAACATTTGAATAAAGAGTGATATCAATCTCTATAGACATTATAGACATTAAGGACATCGCGAAGGTAAATTGTAGATCGATATGTTTGACCAAAATTTGAAGATGAAAATTTGATTGCAAATCGAGTAGTCAACAATGTGTATTAACATGGCCAAGCCATGCTTGTATGAAAATGTTCACCATTCAGTCAGGATCGATTAGTGATATAATTTATGTAACGTGTTTCTTAACGTGTGCGCTTGCAAATCTTAGCAACAAAAACCTTGACACCAGGCGCCGCAGCCTCCATAGTCCGCGGAGCGTCAGTCCAGTAGCTTATGATTAGCCGTGGCCCATCGCTGGACGAAAATGATTACGCTTATGAAATGATTATATTTAAACACTTCAATAAATTAGTAATGCAAGTATGTGACGCAATTTTGAGCATACGCACTCGAAAATCTTGGAAACACAAGCCTCGACCCCAGGCGTTGCAGTTTCCGT